AGAGCCGCCTAATGGGATTTTTATTATCAGGCTCATAAATCAAACCGCCGGGGCGCACGTCCGCCGCGCGCGGCGCCCCTCCCCCGCTCCAGGGGCTGGGCTGCGCCCCCTTTGCAGCAAAGCTCTGCACGTTTGCCTGCGCGCTGGGCTGCAGCTCTGCAACCGCAGCTCTGCAACCTCAGCCCTGCAGCCGCAGCTCTGCAACCTCAGCCCTGCAGCCGCAGCTCTGCAACCTCAGCCCTGCAGCCGCAGCCCTGCAGCCGCAGCTCTGCAACCGGCTGCAGCGAGGCAGCCAGGCAGCCAGGCAGCCAGGCAGCCGGGCCCTGCAAAGGCGGCGCAAACGCTGCGGGCAGGGGAACAGGGTGGAACCTGGGGTTGCAGGCGAATAGGGTGGCCCGAGGGGACTGGCACAGTTCGAGCCCCTGCCGCACGAATCCACTGAGCCCGAGTTGGAGGGGGCTGCGGGTGCATCGTTAGCTTCTCCTGCCCCCGTTTTGTGTGTGTGTGGATGCTATTGACACAAAACAGAGCACCAGCTACGAATGCAAATCACGGAGCAAATACGTCAGCAGCAGAAGCAGCCTGGGCGCAGGAATCCTGCCCGCTCTGCATCCAGCCAATGCCCAGAGCACGCAGGCCTCTAACGAGGTAAACAGCACTGGTACCTCTCATTCGCGTCTGCCCTCCAGCAGTCGGCCGGGTAGCCCCTGCTGCTCTGGAGGCGGGAGGCCCCGGTTAACAGGTTAAGTTGGAGGGGGTGGGGGTCTCCCAGGAGCCCTCTTTATTTCCATCTGTTCCACCACAGGGGTTGGGGGGTGACCCTAGGGAGGGAGGCCCACCTTCCAGAAGTGGCCACAGGAACAAGCTCCACTCCCCGGAACCACACTAGGGAGCAGCCACGGGCATCCAGGCTGGGCCTCCACACAGAAACAAAGGGCTCTGCAAGCTGGTCACCTGACCCCTGGAGCTCACAGGGCTCCTCTCTCCAGACCTTCTCTGGGAAGCCTTCAACTAAAAGCAGGTGCCCAGAGGCCAGCAGCCTGGGAATGAACTGGCTACAGAGCACGTGGCCTGGTTTTCTGTACATTCATAGTGATTTTAATTCCCCTCTCCCCAACCTGTGGCCTCCATGACTCCAAATTCCTTTCACGGTCATGGCCACCAGGAAGAGCAGAGTGGCTGTGCCTGTTCTTTGGAGTTCTGCACCTTTTTAGGTTGGAGTCATGGTTCTCTCTGCTGCCAGTTAAAAGAGCAGAGGTCCCTGAAGTGGGAGACCCTGGCTGGGAACTGGGACAGGGGGCTCGTCCACTGTGTTGAAGTGGATGGCTTCAGACCCCCCCAACACACACACACCCCATCACCACCACCACCACCGAGTTCTCACTGCAGATTTACTGCAGGACGAGGTCTCTGCATGTGTATGAACTTCGTTCTAGGTGTTAGTAAGTCAACTATTGCCAGCTGAGGGAGGCCGGTGTTGTATTTTAAGGAGTGATCCCGTCAGCTCCTAAATTGCCCACATTCTTTCACTGCAGCAGATGGAGAGGTGAGAACCCTGGAGAGGCCTGAGAGAGGGCTCAGGAGGGGCCCAAAGAGGGAGGTGGGAAAAACCGAATCCTTACACCTTCGTTTGCACCATTGGATGTAACCCACAGTGCCCAGCGTGACCTCTTTTATTTAAAAAGTGGCACCCAGCAATTTTAGGGTGCACAACAGAAAAAGAGATCAGCGTGAGGACATTATAGCCTTGGGACGCGTTCAGATATAACCTCTGTCCCTTCCTGTCTAAGCCCCTATGAATGCTACCTGCTCAGTGAACAGAGGGTGCACTCAGCCTAGTCCCTGTGTTAACACGGTGATTGTAGACTTCAGGGGAAGACCCCCCCTTTTAGGCAGCCCGTATACTGCATAAAATAAGTTTAAATTGGTCTTATTGCAAAACGATTTCTTATACAAAATTAGAGAGGCAGATACAACAAATGCTACCAGAAAATTGGCTCACTTTTTGCATCCAAAGAAGGGAAGAAAGGATACATTTTGCTAATATGTAAACATATGGATATCAGTGGGGAGAACCAGGAGTCAGGCCTGCTTCGAAGGGAGGAAATGGGTCTGGGAAGGGCAGAGAGTGGGTTCTGCCCCCGACAGTCGCCCTGGGCGGGGTGAGAGGCCACTAGCCAGCCTCTGGCTCCGCCCCTGCGGCTCCAGAGGCTCTGGAGCATCCCTGCTCCAGCGATGAAGCCCCAGCGGAGGAGGGGAGGCCCCGACACACCCTGCTCTTGAAGGAGCCTGGCTGGTGGGCAGAGGGCACCTGCTGTGCGGAGACCCACGAATCAGCGCCCAGCCCTGCAGAGACAGAGACGGAGGGCGTGCAGGGAGGGCGCTCTGGTGCTGACCGCGCCACCACGGCGTCCCGGGGACCCAGGTCCTTTGTACCAGGGCTCCCAAGAGAGGGAAATCAGAAAGGACAGAGCTGTGAACCCTCCGCAGTGGAAAAGTTAAAGGCACCAGCTCCCTCCTTTCCCTTCAGGAGGACTGTGCGCTGTGTGCGCTCATGTGTGCGTGTGTGTGCATATGTGCATGTGTGCACGGGTTTGCACACACGCACACAGAAACGCTGATCAGTACAGAGAACATGTACTGCCTGTAACTTCTTAAACGCAGATGTATCTTTTAGATCTTTCACTTCGCTACACATGGTCATGTTTATCACAGTGTGTGGAGAGGGGAGCTCGGGAGAGAAGGCGGATTTGTGCGCTAGCAAGTCTCCTGCGGCTGCACTGACGTCCGCACCACGCTGTGTGGGCTGCAGTCAATCAGCCGCTGCAGGAAGACATGCGCCCTGGCCAGGAAAACCTGCACCTCTCCGTGGCTCCAGCTGCACGGGCTAGATATATTTTAATTTTATTAATTAAAAGAAAGAGCTGCGGGGGGAGCAAAGGAAACCTTAAGGGATTTTACAGTTTTTCAAATGCTTTTTCTATATGCAAGATTGGCACAGTGAGACTGGAGAGAGATTTCATGGCTGAGCATGTTGTTTTGCTGAACTAGAGTCACACTGAGCTCTGTGGGCTGTGTCAGCATTTCTTTCCTAGAAGACAGAGATCTCTTGATGGCACTGCGTCTCTTCTCTCTGTATATTATTGTTTAAATTTTGAGAAAAAATTTTTAAATGTAATGTCAATCTTTATATTTTATTCCCATCTATTATTTTTAGAGTCTCATCACTTATGTGTGTGATCACATTTCATTTCTAATGTATTTTGTCCTGTAAAGGTAACGAGAGGGATGAATTAAGCACAATAGTCACGAGCGAACCACAGTTAATATTTCCACATTTCCTGCAGGTTGTAACCAGCCCTGGAAGCTCTGACTGGCAGGACAAACTGCCTAGCTCCTCATGGCCTCCGGGAGTAATCGTGAATCCTACCCTGAGAGCTGCTCACTGGGCCTGGGTACCAGGATTAATGCTCTTGAGTAGGTAAGAGCAGCAGGTGCTCCCTGGAACCTCAGGGAAGTTTCCGGGGTGGAGATGGGAAAGTGGGACATCACCGCAGAGAGAAAATCAAGGCCTTTGGTTCTTTCTCAGGAACCACTCACAGGGGCAGTGAATGAACGCTGCCCTGTCTCCCGGAGCTGCCTTAACAAAGTGCCATGAGCCGGGAGGCTAAAACCCCAGACATCCCTTCCCTCTCAGCTCCGGAGGCTGGACGTCCAAGATCAAGGTGTGGGCAGGGCTGTGCTCCCTCTGAGACACTGGGTGGGGTCCTCCTGCTGCTTGCAGCCTGGTGGCGGCTGTTGGCGTTCCACGGCATCCCTCTCATCTCTACATCTGTGTCACGTGGCCTTCTCTCTGCCTGTCTTCTGCTCTTCTTATAGGGACACCCGTCATAAGGGACCCACCCGATTAACCTTATTGTGACTTGGTTACATCAGCCAAGATCCTATTTTCAAATAAGGCCCCGATCGCTGGTACCGAGGTTAGGATGGCAACATAGCTTTTCAGAGAACACAGACGCTTTGCAGCTGGACCAAGGGTGGCCTCTGACTCAGTCCAAGAGAAACAAGTCCTGAGTTTCTCAAAAACAATAACTAAGGGTGACAGAGGGAGAAAGTCCGGGGTTCCCCCACTGTCCAGCGTTACAGGGATGATGTTGCAGCCTCAAGAAAAACCAGGTCGGCATTAACAGCTATGGGGATGTGCTGACTCTGGGGCAGGTACTGAAGAGGTGGCCAAGCGCCACCTGTGGGCAGGGAGGCTGGCTTTTCAGGTCACCCAGGACAGCAGAGACCACCCTGGGGAAGAGAGAGAGAGCCAGGTCCTGGTGACCACCTGGGGCTCGGAGTTAATAGCTTTTACTGTCCTTGCCCTCCCTCCTCCAGCTGGTGAGGTCTAGGGGAGCAAGAATGGACATTCATATGCTGAGCCCCAAGTTAAGCAGAGGATCAGCTGGATCTCTTATTTCATCCTGATGCAGGCCACATGGTGTGGAGACTCCCGGTGTGTTTATAAAATGACTCACAGTTTCAGGCAGCCAGGATGTGATTTCCAGCTGTGTCCACAGAACCCGGAGTTGGGAAGAGGCACCCATGGAACATGGTGAGGAGGGGGAGGAGCGCTGGGCCTACCGACTCAGGTCAAACATCGTCACTTCACTGTCACCAGCTCTACGTATTGACAGCTCATGTGGATTTTGTGAAGGGTTTTATTTGGGCAAAGGGTTGAACAAATTAAATACGTAATCAATTTGTTTATTCATTGAACAATCACATAGGGTACCTGTGTCCCAGGCCCTGTTCTAGGTGCAGGAGATACACCCATAAACAAAGTAAGCAACAACCCTGCACTTCTGGAACTACCATTCCATTGGATGAGAGCCACACAATTAAGAATAATAAATGAGAAAAACAAATACTGTGATAGAATGTAATCTATGATTTAGGGGGAAAAACAAATCCAGCAGGATAATAGGATTGCAGGGTAGTAAGAGTAGGCTTCACTGGGAAGACGGTAGTTGAGCCGAGCTGGAGCTGGTGAAGGACTTAGTAATGTGGGATCCATGCAAAGACTGTTTCAGGAAGAGCCAGAGACTAGGACACCAGGTGATCAGGAAACCCTGCAGGTCATTGCAAGGATTTAGTTTTTCCTCCGAGTGACAGGGATGGATTTCCTCTGTTGCCCAGAGGAGTGGCAGTGTCTGATATGCATCATTGGAGGGTCTCTCTGGCTACAGGGTTGAAAATAGACTGGAGGGGGCAGGAGGGGGCAATGGGGAGTCCTGTGAAGATGCTACTGCAGAAATCCAAGTGAGAGATGATGCTGCGTGAAGCAGGTGGTAGCAGTGAGGATGGTAAGATGCTGTCATGTTCCGAATGGATGGATGGAGCTAACAGGGCTTCCTGTGGGATTCCACATGTGACGTCCGTCAGGAAAGAGAGGAGTCAAGGATAACTCTAAAGAAAAAAAAATCTACGCTTGAACATGTTAGCAGGGAACTGAAACATATGAAAATGAGCACACCAAATCTACAAAGAACTGAAAACAGGTTCTAGAATTGAAACATGCAACAGTATAAAGTAAGAAGCCAATGGGTGAGTTTAAAGTTTAGTCTGCAGATCGACACAGCTGAAGAGAGGTTAAGAAATAAGAAGACACACCAGGAGAAATTATCCAGAATGTGACACGGAGTGACAAAGTAAGGGGAGAAATCACAAACGGGTAAGATCCTATAAAGACAGATAGGTGGGTGCATTTAAAAACCCAGTAGATAGAAATGATCCAATGGGGTGGAGGCAATAATTGAAGAGATAACGGCTGATAATTTCCCAGAACTGATCCAAGAAATGGATCCACAGATTCAGGAAGCCCACTGAGTCTCAAACAGACTTAAAAGATATTCTCACCTACACAGAATATAGGGAGAGAAATAGCCAAAGAAGAAGAAATGGACTCTTCAAAGGGAGTAAAAGACTGAAAACCAAGTGCTTGAAAAATGAGAAAGGAAGCCTGGAGACAGAGGTATGGTGGCCTCTGCAAATGTGAAACAAAATAATGGCCAATCTTCAAGAATGAGTGAAATAAAGACATTTCCAGTCAAGCAGTAATGGGAGTGGTTTGTCATCACCGACCCACACTAAGGAAATGCTAAAAAGGGCACTTTAGGCAGAAGAAAACTGACCCTAGATGGAAAGGCAGGGGTCTGAAGGACTGAGAAGAAAAGAAAGAGATAAATATATAAGAAAATTTCAGTTAACTCTGACTTTATAGGACTGAAAGAATAACGCATTATGGGGCTAAAATGTAGGGTGTCCCAAAAAAATGTATAGACATTTTGAATGATTATAAAGTAAGTGTTTATTAACATATAATCCATTTTCAAAATTTAAAAGAATTTACAGAAATGAATAATTTATTTTTTTGGTCAATGCCTGCTTTCAAACAGACAACCGTTCTGGTCCAGGCCCGGCTGATTACATGAAGCAATGGAATCGCAAACATCAAGAATCATTTGGTTCGATATTTGGGCGCCCTCAATGCATCAACTGTTGCTGGTTTTGTATAGTAAACTTTATCTTCTATGTATCCCCATAAAAAAAAAAATCTAATAGCACCTTAGGATAAATTTTCTTTGTTCAAAGCTTAGCCTGGCTTCACCCATTATTTCAAATGAGTTAAACCTGAAAAGGAGTGAAAATTAAGTGAGTTATCAGCTGTGAAAGTGTGTATACATTTTCCTGTGTTCTCCAAAAATATATACACACTTTGAATAATTATTGAGGGAGTGTTTGTACTTCAACTGCATTTTTAAACTTCCAGGAGCATTTTAGGATGAATTTCCTTTGTTCGAAGCTTAGTCTGGCTGAAAAGAAAGAAACATCCATTGAGCTATCAGCTGTTGAAGTGTGTGTACATGTTTTTGGGACACCCTGTATGGAATGAAAATGCATGAAGAAAAGACCATGTAGGGTGAGAGCAGGATAAATGGAGTTAAAATATTCTGAGGTCCATTTTCTCTTCTGGGGAAGACTAAAGTTATTGATGTTAAACTGTGCTTAGATGCAGCTGTATTGGGTCATATCAGAGGGAACATTTCAGGATGGAAGCCTTAAAGTGGGAAATACGGACAATCACACTCTCACTTGAAAAGGTTTCTACCCAGAAGTATTGTTTAAATATTACCCCGTGTATCCTTAACCTGTCTCAGACTAATGTTACTAGAGCCCACAGATGTCTTTGCCATTGGTCACTACATCTACATAAAGATATGTAGGCTTAGAAGAGAACTTTCTATCTCAGACACGGAAATATAAATTGGAGGAAGTCTTGGAGGGACAGAACCCAATTAGAACGCAGCTTTGTGCCATGGCCAAATGAAAGGTTTGGCTTATTTTTAAAATCTCTAACTGGATTAGATATCTCAGAATGTAGGTCCAACCGGATGCCCAATAAATGTCTTTCACTGGACAAAATAGCGAAGAGCCGTAAGACTAAGGGTGTGACTTTCCCACCAAGATGTGATAGGGTCAGAGTACCTATCAATAAGTTGAGAGAGAGAGAGAGACAGACAGACAGACAGACAGACATGGGGGTGAGCAAGCAAAGAACTACAGCAAGTAGGAATCGTGAGGGCTGTCAGCCTCTGCAAAGGCTGTGGCTTTAGGCTTTATCTCCTTAGAGACAAGCAGAGGGGGCTGGTGGAGTGTGTGGGTAGAGGAGTGACGTGATCTGATTCACCTTTTTAAAGGATCTCTCAGGCCACAGAGAGAAACACAGCCCGCGGAGAAACAAGGTTGTGGCAGCTCTGCCCACTCAGGCTGACGGAGCCTTGGCTAGGGAACTGGCCGACTCGGAGGGGGATGCACTCCTTCATCCTGTCCCTACTCCAGCTGCCCTGCCGCTGCGCACCCCTCGCAGCGCTGAGGCTACGGTGCGCACTGACGATGCGTGAGTTCTTCGCAGGATTGTATATCCAGAGCAGCGATGTTTGTCGGAGAGGAAACTAATACGTTCAAATCACGCCAGCCGGTGTGGCTCAGTGGTTGAGCACCAGGAGGTCACCGGTTCGATTCCCGGTCAGGGCCATGCCCGGGTTGCGGGCTCGACCCCCAGCAGGGGGCGCGCAGGAGGCGGCCGATCGATGTTTCCATCTCCTCAGCCTTTCTCCCTTCCTCTTTCTCTAAATCGATTTTTAAAAAATTAAAAAAACAAAAAGTGTTCAGATCACAACGTCCCGAAAGTTGCCACGTTGGCACTGGATGTGCAGACATCAGGTGCAATGAAAACGGGTTTTGTTTGGGGTTAGTTCCTCGGCAGCTGGATTTCCGCACCACACGCGTCCCTGGATACGCGGGCTGCGTTGTCCTTGGAGGGTGGGCAAGAGCTACCTCGCTTGGCACAGGCTCACCCGACGTTGGCAAGCAAACGTCTCTCGCCAGCATCTCAGCAGTCGTGTGCGGTATTTTGGTCTTATCTGCTTGAACCGCTTCTTCGTAAGAAGCCCCACAGTACGACGATGTTTATTTGTAAAATATGGAACATCTGCTTCTGTTGGGTTTTCATTTCCATGCTCTTTCCTTCAAGGAATTCTTGGGGGTTTTTTAAACTTCTTGCAAGAGTGGAAACCAATTAATCCAAACAGGTTCTTTGAAAGATCATTGAAAACTGATAAATGTTTAAGTAGACCGATGAAAGAAAAGAGGAGGGTACTGATGTTGCCAATACCGAGACGGGAAGGGGCACCGCCTCAGCCCCCTTCCGAGACAGAAAGCACCAGCCCCACGTAAGTTCACTGGTGAATTCTACCCAATATTTACAGAAAAAAATTTTCCAATTCTCTATTATTTCTGCCAGAGGATAGAATCAGAGGCACTGCTTCTTATCTCATTGTATGAGGCCAGCATTACCCCGAGGCCCAAACCAGAAAAAGACAGACCTTACAAGAAAAGAAAACTCTAAAGCACTCTCTCTCACGGACACAGATGCAAAAATCCTCAACAAAGTTTTAGCAAACCAGATCCAACAACCTAAAA